CTAAGAGAAACCTTTTAAACTTTCAAAAATATTGATTGAACCTCTATTGAGAGGAGCCCTTTTCTATTGAACTAAAAAAAAAATTTTTTTTCCTTGCTTTTCTCAATGTTTCATCTTTCCAAACAAAATGGTTATTTGTTTGTCTTTGCCTTATTCTTGATTTATAGAAATAGGCAAAGAGGGGTACTTGCAAACACCATTTATTATTATTATTATATATTTATTTAATTTTTTTCTCGTTTTCTTTTTTTTTTTTCTTCTTTTTTTCCTCTTTTTTTTCCCTTCTTCTTCTTCCTTATTCAGTTCAAATCTAGTGCATTAAATCCACAATCCTTAAAGTCCAAAATCACTACCGCTACTTGCCAGTGGTCGACCGATAAGCCGTCAATCACGAACGACAGGTGTGAATTTTCAGTTGAAAAATGGGATTCGAATCCCAAAAGATCTGGGATTTGAATCCCAAAAAGCTCTATAAATAAAGCTTGTTATTTGCAAACAAATGAGGAGGAAGAATAAAAAAAATGGTAAAAAAAAATTTACAAAAAAAACAAAAAAAGCTTCTGTCGAAATTTTTTTTTTTGCAGAAACATAAAAAAAAAGTAGAAACAGTCCCTTGGAACGGGGAACCCAGCACCAAAATATACCTACAAAAGCACACATAAAAAAAAAAAAACAAACAAAAAAAACACACAAAATAAAAAAAATTTACCAAAACTTTGAAGGTCAATCTGAGTCATTTGGGATACTTTCGGGAGAAACCAAGCCTAGATTTGTGTTTAGAGGGACGAGAAGGATTTTTTGACCACCGATGACGGCAGTCGGTGACTGACGCACTGCACGACACGGCAGCTACGACGGCCTGTCGATCCCCTAATTTTTTTTTGCTTGAGAGGAAAAGGGGAGATTTTTTTTGGAGAGAAGGAAAAAATGATCGAAAAAAAAAATTTGCTTTTATATAAGCTGCCAAAACCCAAAATGACGTCGTTTCACTAATGCCCAAAACGATATCGTTTTAACCTCTGAGGATCTGCGCGTCAACCCGTGACCTGACCCGAGGTCCGCGCACCTGACCCGATGATCCATTATTCCTTCAGCCCTTGACCGGTCCATCTTAACTGGACCAGACCGAACTGGACCGTGCTTGAATCGCTAAACCGTCAGACGAACCGGACAGCACTTGAACCGTTGAACCGCCAAACCGAACCGAGCCGATCGGACCTGTGTTAATTGGACCGTTGATCGATCTGGTTCAGGTAAAATTTTTTTTTAATTATTATTATTAATATTTATGCATGTAGAAATGTTTAAATTTATCAAAATAAATTTTTATTAACACAAAATTGATAAAAAACAATAATAAGAAAAGAAAATTTTATCCGATGATGAGATTTAAAGGTATTCCGAGTAGTGATGCCTACAAAATCTCTAGGTGAGAAGATTTTTTTAAAATACTATCATGTATTGGAGTATTTATAAAAAATTTTCAATACAGTAAAAATTTTCTTTTTTAAAAATAATAAATAAAAATTGATTAATATATTAAAATTATAAGTAATAAAAATGAGAAGAAAAGAAATTTTATCTAATGATGAGATTCCAAAAGTATTCCGAATAGAGATGCTTTAAGAAATCTTTAGGTGAAAAATTTTTTTTAAATATTACCAGTATATTGAAATATTTATAGAAAAACTTCAATACAATAAAAATTTTTTTTCTTCAAAATTAAAAAAATTAATAAAACAATTAATAAAATTTTTGAAAAAGAATAAAATGTGTGCATCAACATGTTATTATTCGCATTGCATACATGACATAATTTTTTACAAAAAGTAAATTCGGACCTCCAAAGATGAGATTCTAAGGTATTCTGAGAAATGACGCCTAAAAAAATCTCTAGGTGAGAAAGAGTTCTTATAATGTTGCTAACGTACTAAAACATTTTAAGAATAATTTCAATAAAAAAGTTCTAATTTATTTTTCTCGAATAATATTTGAATATAAAAAAACAATAAATAATAAACAAAAGAAATAAAGAAAATTATTTTTCAAACACTAAAAATAGGACTTTTTTTTTTATCAAAATCAAAGGATAACACATAATTAATTGGTACCGTTTTAAACGGGCACTGTGGGGGTGCTAATCTTTCCCCATACGTAACCGACTTTCGAACCCAGACTGTTGTACAGATCCTAAAATTATCTTTTTAATAAATTTTAATTAATTTTAAGATTCATTAAAATGATATGTTTTAATAGGTGACCAATCGCACTTAGTCAAAAAAAGATTGGTGACGACTCCGTTATTTTTTTTATTTCGTTTTCAAATTTGTCGGACGGACACAAAATCGTTACGACAAGATAATATATTTATTGATCAAAATTATTTTTCTTCAAAGCTTATACAAATTAAATTATTGATATGATTTTTAAACATATAATAAAAAATATAAATTTAATTCAATTGATTAAAAATAATTCTTTATTTCTCCATAAAATAGAGTTAGCTTATTAGCATAGGATATCTAATATTTTTAATAATCTAATTTTTTATTTAAATGTATAACAAACATACAATATGATAATTAATATTCTATCCTTTAACTAATCTTATATGGCAAACGAAATCTCAATTCATTATATTATATTATATTATATTATATTAAGTAAATTATATCAAATAAAGAATAATTGTATAAAATGTTGCATTGTATAAACGTTAGAAATTATGTTAAAGACTAAAATTAGTGCATATGACTAAAACTACTAAAAGATAACTAACAAAATAATTTTTTTTAGAAAAACTTAAAAAAAAAGACTGAAATTACTAAAAGATGAAGAAAAAATAAAAATTTTAATTTGTTTAAATAAATAATTTAGTCGAGCTTGAGCTTTATTATTTACAAATATAAGCATACTTACGTATAATTTAAGGCTCAAATTGTAGAATCGAAATTGATTTAAACAAACACGCATAACATTGATATTATACCTAGACTTATCTAAAAACTATGAACACATCTACTTAGCAGTGCTAGTAATAAAAGAATAATCAAGAGCATTTTAACTCTCATAACAATAGAAATTAAAGAATTAAAAGTAGATTTTTTTATTTAATGACTTTATAATTTATGTTTCGGATGAAATTTTTAATAAAAGAGTTAACATTAATTGCATGCTAATTATTGCATTTTACGTCTTACACAAAATATTTGGTTTTGATTGATTGGATATCCTTAATCTTATAGGTGATCTGAATTCAGAATTCATTGAATTTAGGACGTTAGTCCACCTTCTTTGCACCATTAAAATTAATTCAAAATTATTTTATTTAAATATTCGTCTCATCAATCATTTTTCAACAATTTTCTATAGTAATTGTATAAATCACTCTTGATCTTTTTTTTTCAAATAATGGCTACATTTTTCTTGTAAGGAGAATTTCTAAAGTTATAAAAAAAAAATTCAATACTATAGTTAATAAGTATTTTTTTATTTTTGGGGATAATTTATGCATGGCGATACTGTTGGACACGAAGGCTAGTGGTCGCCCCTCGTTAAATGTGCAGTATGAACATAATTTATTTCCACCAAATGTATAAATTATATTAGTAATTTATAATCCCCGAGAAAAAGTTGAAAATTTTATGTTAACAGTTACAAAATTTATTGAGACGTTTTTAAGTTTTTATTATTACTAGCAAATAATAATTAAAATTATATTGTCTTCTTCTAATTTTTGGATCGATTTGTGTGGAATAGTTACAAATTGCCCTATAGTTATCAACTCATTTAATAAGGAATATTAATACGAAGATCTGATTAGAAACTAAAAATTAAAGAAAAATTCCAACTCAGCAATGTCAGAAATCTAGATTGGTTTTTAACTGATCTTGGTGAATTGAACCTGGCTATGGCTTGATCTTAATGAAATCGAAAAGGGCAAAACAACTGTTTAAGGAAAATAAATTTCCAGATTACAATGTGTATGAATTTGACCAACAAAAATTCACCAAAACGTACCATCTAAGTTAGAAATTCAGTTAAACATGTGCTAAGATAGCAATTTACTACTATTTCTCAGTAGTACGGAGTTTGGTTGAGTTGATTAACGGTAACAATATTAGTTCTTTTTATCAATCAAAATTCAATATTTATGAAAAATATTTGATATAAAAGAATGCCCTTATAAGATTATTTTCAAAATATAATTTTTTTAAAATATCAAAATCTAAACAAAAATTTGAAAATAATCCTAATATAAAAAAACCCTTAAATTTAGACATTCTTTTATGTAAAAAACAAAAAGAATCGATAAAATGAAATCTAAATTATAGTATTTTTTTAAAAAAATTAAATAAGGTTGTAACTAAGTTCAGATGTAATAGATTATTTAACTAAAAAACATTTTTTGTTATCTTTTTTTAAGTAAATTTCATATTCTTATACCATTTGATAATACATATGGATATGGTCAAGATCTTTAAAAATATTTTATAATTAGATCTGATAATTTTAGATATAAAATGAAAATATCATAGGAAAAAAAAAAGAAAAATTATTAAAATAATATAATTTCAAATTTTGATAAAAAATATATATTAATTTGATAAAAATTAAAAAAAAATCTTTGGTATATGATATATTGATATGAATTATATATTATAATATTTATCTTTTACAGGTTTATGATACAAACAAGGTAAATTGAATACACAATTATCATATCTATTTAGAACCAAGATTCCAAGAAAAAAAAGTGACAGAAGTAAAGCAGAAGAAACAAAATAGAAAAAGCCAATTACTTACAGAGTTAATGGCCAAAATACGTTTTTTGGGGTAGTAAAGTAAGTGTATATTTTTCTTTTGCGTTTGTTTTCCCTCCTAAACAAACTGAAAGAGAATATATTAGTATTACAAAAAAAAAGAGAAAGGAAGAGAAAAAGAAGAAACATAATAAATGGGTAGAAAATCCAGTAAAAGAGTAAAGAATGGTAGGAAGATAAACAACTGTAGATACGTTACTTTATGACCAGAGTTTTGGCAAAGTGGACAAAGTGAAAGTGGGCCCCTCTCTTTTGCTTTGCTCAATGGCTGTAAATTGTAATATAAACAAATGTAGAAGTAGGGTCTTTTCTTGCATTACAATATCTATCTCCACGAGAAAATCCCAAGCTCTCCCGCCTTACCAAGTCTTGAATCTTACCATTACTTGCTTGGAAGTACTAGTATTAGTATACAAAAGAAGTAGAAAGATTAAGTGGATAGATAGATGTGGGAGTTAGGGAAAGAGAAGCTCAAATAAAGAAGAAACAGAGAGAGGAAAATATCAACAGTAGAGAGAGTGAGGAGTGGAGTATATGTGGAGGAGTTTCTTCTCTGGAGATGATGGATACCCCAGAGAAGACCCAGATCAACTCTTCAATCTCTAAGTTTGACGTAATGCTTTTCTTCAACTATTTGATCTCTCTGGGGGGAAACTCTTTTTTTTTTTGGTTTTGGTTTAGCTTGTTTTTTTGCTTCACTGCATGTGCTTTGATTTGGTTTCTGTGTGAGAGTTGTCAATTGACCTTCATCTTTCTGGATTTTGTTTCCTAAAACTCTTTTCTTTTTGTTCATAGTGTTGGGAGGTTTTTTTTTTTTTTTTTTTTTCTTTTTTGGGGTGGGGGGTGTGAATTGTTTAGCTTCTGAATTGGATCTCTTTGTAGAATTCAATTTTTTGCCTTCTGGTTCCCGGGTTCTGCTTCTGGTGTTTATTTGATAGAGCTTAAAATTGAGATTTTTCTTGAAGTTATTATTTTCTTGTACAACTCATCTTTCTGGGATTTCTTTTTAGTTTTTAGGCTTCTTTGCTGTTAAAACTACTTTCTCTTGGCTCACAGACGTTGCACTGAATTCACTTAAAAATTTCAGTCACTGCTTTTGATTCTTATTCTTTCTCAGGGTCAGGCCTAAATTGATGTAAACAGTGTATCCATTATTTGCATTTTATTTATCCTGGCAGATATCTAGCCCTTTGTTTTTCTTTTCTTTTTTTCTCACAGAAGTTTCCTTAAACAATTGACCATGGCAGAATTGTTTTTCTGCTAACTGTTAGACCTGTGAATTTCTTGTCTTCTTTTTCCATTGAAAGTCTTTTCTCCCCCTTTAAAATCATCATTTTGACCCAGATTTTGTTGATAGTCATTTGAAACAGTTGAACTCTTTTACTGAACCAATTATTTGTTCAACATTTTTTTTTCAAGAGATTTCAAAAGATTTGCTGTTGCAGCAGCATAGATGTGTCACTTCCCCTGCTATTGTATTAATCTTTATTGCAAATTTTTTTTTTAATTTTTTTATGTCAGAGAAGCATTTCATTTGGATCAAAAGATGTTTTACAAGAAACATTGTTTCATGCTCACGAACATCCAAGTCCATGTTAGAACTTGATTAATTTAAGCATCTGACAAATATATGTTTTGGCCAATAAGCATCTGATATTAACTTTGTAACATTATCTAAGAAGGGCTTTTTCCCTTGTGTACAGGATTCCCCAGTCTTTAACTATATCAACAGCCTTTCCCCCATAAAACCGGTCAAATCCATACACGTTACGCCGACATTCAACCCTTTTTGTTTTGCATCACTTCCATCTATTTTCACTTCACCCCATGTCAGCTCTCACAAGGAATCTAGATTCCTGAAAAGGTAACTGACTAGTATTATATATTCTTGATTGTTGGTGCCCATATTGTTTAATTTCATGCCTTATTACCTCATTTTCGTTTTTCTTGTTAATGCTAATTATTCTTTCTTTACAGGCATAGCAATACAGATCCATCAAAACCCGAGTTGTCTCCTGGAGAGGGGACTACAGTTAGTACAAATGAAGATGCTGGTGTGGAAGCAGGTCATCTCTGTGATAGCTCTGATGAGCTACAGGAGAATTTTGATACAGCAGTTTCCCTGGGTGAAACTTCTCTTGAGCTGCCTAATGAACCTTCAAGATTTGCAAATGAGCTCCCACAGACCTTAAAGTTTGATTGTGGTAGCCCCAACTGCGACCCAGAACCTTGTATTATTGAGATGAATTGTGTCTCAGAATCGGCTTGCACATCTGTCTCAATTGTTCCGTTTGTTCAAGAGGCCTCTGAAAAAGGTTTATCTGATGGAGTGGAAGTGGTGGGCATTTGCCAGATTGATCAAAAAAGGGAAACTATAGGGTGTGAATGGGAGAGTTTGATTTCTGATGCATCTGATCTATTAATTTTTAATTCCCCTAATGGTCCAGAGGCTTTTAGAGGTGTAATTCAGAAATCATTGGACCCTGGTGCACGATTTTGTCCTGCTCTTATTTCTCGGTTCCCACAAGATGATATCAATGAGGTGTGCCAAACTACTGTTGATTCTAATGAGTATAAAGATCCTTCTCTGCAACCTGGAGAAACTGGTGAGCTGAAGGAAATAAACCATGTGAATGGAAATTTTGAGAATACTAGTGTGACTAACTGCATGGCTGGCAGTCTGACTGATTATGTGGAAAGTGGGATGTGTGCCCCATTTTCTTTGAAGGTAAGAGATGCAGCATAGGTTGTTAACAACATTCGGGGAGTGTAAATTTGAAGTGATATAGAGCAATTTCTGCAGCATGAGTTGCAGAGAAGTAGAAAAAATTTTAAACATGTTTGTTCTTTCACTAATTGCAGTATGATCTGAGTCTTTTCTTCATGTCATGTTACAATACTAGCAATGTAGATACTCTTACTTATAATTGCCTTCAGTTCACAAAATTATATTTCATTATTGATCCTACTCTAACAGCTAAGAATATTTCCACTGTGATAGTTCAAGGAAGCCTGCACTCACCCATATTGATTGGTCATTCCATTATAACAGGGATTTCTTTGTTCAGTTGTCCATGCAACATTTTGTTATTTTAATTCTCCCCACTATTAATATAAAATCATCTCTCTTGATCTGCTTTAACTGACAATGCTTTTATATGTTTGCACACAGCCTGGTTCTAATTTGCATCGTGGATTGAGAAGGCGTTGTTTAGACTTTGAGATGCTATCAGCTCGGAGGAAGAACTTAGATGATGGTTCAAATTCCAGTTCTTCTGTAGATAACCAATTGGTGCTTGGTAAGCCTGGCAATGATTCTTCAAGGTGCATTGTACCAGGAATTGGTTTGCACTTAAATGCTCTTGCAATAACCTCAACGGATAACAAGAATACCAAGCATGAAACTTTTTCTTCTGGGACACAAAAGCTAAGTTTCCCTAGCTCCACTCCATCCATTTTACCCCCCACAGCAGGTCAAGAAGCTGTTCATGAATTTTTTACTTCAGCCTCTACTGAAAAAGAAACCAATGCTGTTGAAAATGGAGTTCAATTTGCAGAAGATGCTTCTCAGGCATCTGCCTATTTAGTTAATGAAGAGTTCAATCAAAACAGTCCCAAAAAGAAGAGGTATGAGGACTTGACAGTTTGTAGTTGATTGGATTAGTACTGTCTAATACTACATGTCTAACCTTTGTTTTGTGCATCATCATTCTATGGATTTCTAGACGGAGATTGGAACAAGCTGGAGAGAGTGAGGCCTGTAAGCGTTGCAACTGCAAGAAGTCAAAGTGTTTGAAACTGTAAGTTCTTTTAGTTTTGTTTTAAATTTTAGGACGTGCTTCTACATATTCCTGGTTACCACTGTGATCTACTAATATGAGTTCTGATTCCAATGCCAGCTCCTTCCCTTCTACATTTTGTGTTAGTAATTGCAATATTTTGCCAACATTCCTCCTCTTTCTTATTCTTTGAAAGATATTGTTTCCTAGTGCCTGTTTTTCTTCTATATCTGTTTGCAAGAATAAATAATATGTGAAAGAGAACAAATATGTTTTGTCTTTTTCATTTAATGTGCTCATTTAATTGTTGAACCCTCTTTTTCAGCTACTGCGAATGCTTTGCTGCTGGTGTATACTGCATAGAGCCATGTTCATGTCAAGACTGCTTTAATAAGCCTATCCATGAAGATACTGTCCTCGCAACTCGCAAGCAGATCGAGTCTCGTAACCCACTTGCGTTTGCTCCCAAAGTGATCAGGACCTCTGATTCAATACCTGAAGTTGGGGTACAGAATAAGTCTGACGATTCTTTATCTAGTTGGTCAACTGCAAGTTGCCATAGAGCCTAATTGCCATTTATTCTTGCAGGATGACTCTAGCAAAACTCCAGCCTCAGCTCGACACAAAAGAGGATGCAATTGCAAGAAATCAAGTTGCCTGAAGAAATATTGTGAATGCTATCAGGTTTTTCTCAGCAAAACCTCTCTGCTTATGTTGTTCTACATAAACTGATTTAGAAGTCATTTTTTTCTCTTAAAGGGTGGTGTTGGATGCTCCATCAACTGCAGATGCGAAGGGTGTAAGAATGCATTTGGGAGGAAGGATGGTAGGTTTGCCTATGGCTTGCATGACTATTTCGATGCACGCCTTTTGTTGAATCTATTTGATGTTTTGTTATGGACTATTCGAGATTATTCAAGTTCTTATTCGACTTGATTGCTTCGAAATACAGGATCTGCTATAGTGGAAACAGAAGAGGAGCCAGAAGAAGAAGAAACTGATCTTTCAGACAATAGTGGGATGAACAAAAAATTAGAAAAAACTGACATCTTGAATAGTGAAGAGCAAAATCCAGTTTCTGCTCTACCAACAACTCCACTACAGCTTTGCAGGTTTCTTCCTTGAACCGCTTGTTTCCATGATAAAATTAATAGTTATCTTTGCTATAACTTCTATAATATTTTCTGCACAGATCCTTGGTTCAACTGCCATTTTCATCAAAGAGCAAGCCGCCACGTTCCTTTATTGCCATTGGATCATCTTCCACACTGTTTAATGGACAAAGATCCAAGCCTAATATTATTCGGCCTCAAAACATTATTGAAAAGCATTTCCAAACTGTTGCTGAAGATGAAATGCCCGAGATTCTACGAGGCAATTCTTCTCCCGGCACTGGCATTAAAACTTCTTCTCCCAACAGTAAGAGGATCTCTCCTCCTCAATGTGAGTTAGGGTCAACCCCTGGTCGTAGGAGTGGCCGGAAGTTGATATTGAAGTCAATACCCTCATTTCCTTCTCTTACTCCTCAGCATTAAAGTGGAAACTTTGCAGTTTCCATAAAGTTAAGAGGAAAATTTTTTAAATCTTTGTTATGTTCGAAAGTATGGCGTTCGCTTTTAGGTTGCATCTGTGTAATAAAATTATATCTTGCTTCCATAATGTTCAACTTCTCCTGTATAATATGGTATCTTTATTTAATTTCCTACCTCAATTTTGTAAATTTCATTATTGTTCTCAGCTTCTCTTCTTGGACATCTCTATTTAAGTATGTTTCCTCCTTCCTTTCCTTCTCTTACAGAGGGAGGGGATTGGTGGTTGGGGAATTCAAACAGTTTGATTGTTTCTTTCTCCTATATCCAATTCCAATTGGATATGCTATGGGAGATAAGATGAGGTTTTACTCATTCAAGTTGAAGCATAGAACTATGATAAAATGATAATTATTTTATATTATATTTAATTTATATTTTTAAAATAATAAAATTATAAAAAATATTAATTATTTTTTTAGTATAAGATAAAAAAAATTATTTTTAATTTATGAGATTGAATTTATACATTATATAATTAAATACTAAATTTAAAATTAAATATTTAAATGAATACTTAATTCAATACTAAATATTTTAATTTATGTAAATAAAAATTAATCGTTATCAAATATTTACAATTAAAAGTATATTTGGATAAAAATTTTGTGTCTCCTATGCGTGGTTTCGTTGTATATAGATATAGATTTATTCTCCAACCCAATTAAATAAATTAAAAAGTCACTTTCGTAAGAGCACGACAACTTTTCTTTCTTCTTTCTTTTCAAATTTTTTCTTTTTGTCCCAACTTCAGATTTTTCTCCTGTAAACTTTTGTTTCTCGATGAAACCTCCCATTGTTCTCGTTTTGCAGAGGGCTATCTTTTTTTCTTTGTTCAACTCCTCTCTCTTACTCGAAATCCAAATTGCTGCCGCTTGGTTCGCAAACTCAGAGTTTTCTAGAACCCATTTGGAGCAGTCACTTCTGGGTTTCGAACGGAATCCCTATCGCTCTTGATTTCAGACGGAATAGTACAATTGGATAGGGAGTTGCCTATGAACGGGTCGTTTCTGGATCTTTTGACAATGGGTTTAGATAATTACGATTCAGATCATGGGATATTCCCTGGATTTGATGATTTTTCAAGTGGTTTATGATCATTGAGCTCTATAGTTGGGATGATGTTAGATCAATGGTTTCAATTTTCTGTCTTTTTCATGCATGTTTTAATTCAAAATTTTTGGACAAACAAAAATTTATGTGGTTTAGTTGTGGGTTTTTGAATTTCATAGGTATCATAGAATTATTTTATAATTAAAAATTCTAATAGGAAAGTTTATGATTTTTGGGTAACAAGCTGTAATTTTGCAGTATTTTTATTTTAGATTTTAATTTTTCAACTGTGGCAGTTTTATTAAATTTTATATCATAAATGATTTGATTTATAGATTAATTTTGAAAATGATATATGTGCTCAATTTAATCTTTATTGCATATTAAATCTAAAAATAATCATTTTGAATATTTTATTATTAAATAAAACTTAACCACTAAAAATATGGCACATGACTGATTTTTTTCATTTCGTTGTTATTTTTATTAGAGTTAATTGTACATGTGAAACATGCATAAATTTTCATTAAAATATATCATTAATTGTAAACTTTTGATAATGTTTAATTTTTATTTATATAAATTAAAATATTTAATCTTGAATTGAACAATCATTTAATCATTTTATCTCAAATTAAGTATTTAGCTATATTTTATTATACTATTAAAAATTACATTAATAATTTAAATTGTATAAATTTTAAAAAATAATAATTTTAACTAATAAATTAATTATCTTATCATAATTCTTGTACACATTAAACATAAGATATGATAATATTATTTAATCCAAACCTATTTATAATATCATCTTATTTTATTTTATCATAATTTTATGTATCAAATACATTCTCAATTCTTTGTTAAAGATTGTAGCTTTACTTATCACTGTTGATAATTTTAAATATAATACGATGATAAAACGTGAAAATGATACAAAAAAAGATGCAAAAGCGACAAGATTTAAAATTTTTACAAAAATATGAAAAATATATTTTAGATTTGATATGTCTATGTAAATTTGACACCATTAGGTTTAGGAGTCAAGGGGTGCTTTCTTGGTAGAAGTGGCAAAGGCAAGGATTACTTAGTTTTTGAAGTGTGCTCCATTCTTTTAGGTTTAGATAATTTATAGCAATTAAACTTGGTAACATCTCTGGAGATCCTAACAACCAAAACAGAGACCTATCATCACATGTAAACTTAGATGGGGCATCAGGTAAAAGCAACCAAATAAACATGAGTTTTTTTTTTTTTTTTTTAATACCATGTTTGTTATTTTTGTGAGTTTTCTGTGGATGTAAAATGAAAATCATAACAAGAAAGAATATGGCTTTAATTGATGTTGCAAATGTTAATTTTGATTTATTTTGCTACCATCATTTATAGTGTACATTAGGGTGAATCAAATGGTAATAAAATAAAATCAAGGATGGATCCACAATGAGAGCAGTAGGGCAATTACCTCCGCTTAGATCCTAAGGTTAAATGCTCAATTTAGAATCAAATTTTTAATGAGTTGCTCATTTAGGGATCAAACGTTTGACTTGCATTGATTTAGGATCAAATATTTATTTTTTAAGTTTACTATTAATGATATGTTTAGATGGACAATTGTACGTGTCTCACACATACAGTTAAATCTAGCAATTGAAAATAAGTGGCGGATAAATATCATTTTAAATGGGAAAAATAAAAATAATCTTAAGAAAATGAGATTCATTTTTCAAAAAAAAAAAGAGGAAAAATTATTTCATTCTTTCTTTTTATTTTGATTAGGGTTTGTAAACAAAATAACAAAAAAAATAAAAATAAAAAACTAACATTCCATTTGAATCTGAGTTCTCATCCACAATCTTCAATTTGTACAATATCAAAATTTCAATTGATCACTACTAATCTAAATTAAGAAAACCACAAAGCCACAAAAAATCACATAATTTTTTTCACTATCGTCCAACCATTTTGAATTAAAACTTACAATGAAAATTTCAACTTTTCAAATTTCCACTTTCTTTATGCTTAGGTAAAGATAGTCTAGATAACCAATTTTATTCAAAGTTGTTTTATATTATTGGGACTTGAATTGCATTTTGATACTGAGTTTTAAAAGTTATTTTAAGCTCAAATTTAAAAGCCTAAAAGTGTTTTATTTTTATTTATGTTTTGTTATTTGGTAAAAAAAAAAACATAAAATTTAGTTTTTTTTAAAGATTAGGATTTTATTTATATTTGAAATTCAAAGAATGAGTTTGATTTTGATAATACTTAGGAATCAAGTTCTTATAAAGAAGGAAAATAAATTTTGACAAGATTTTAATAAATTTAGTTAACATTAAAAATTTTCAAATTGAAAAAGGATTCAATCCTTATATGAAGAGCCCAATTCTTAGTTAGAAATCATCTATAATAAAAGAATCAAGAAGCAATTAAGACAATCAAAATCAGCAAGCAACATAAAGCTTTAAATTTTAAAGGAAAAGTTTTTAGGTTAGAGAGAGAAAGTAAAAGGAAATTCTAAGGGCTTTGGTTTTTTACCTTAAATATTGGGAGCAAACAACACTGTTTGGAGAAAGCTCGACCCACGCCTAAACTTGCTTTTTAATCCAATTTGATTGCAAGTTTTTCTTTTCTTTTTTATTTTATGATTTTATAATTTTAACTTTGATTTCTTATTTTTTGTTATATATTTTTTTATTTTAGTATTGTTTAATTATGATTGAATTAAAAATGATGAGAAAAATAAAAAGAAAAAAAAAGGAAACTTTGGTAGGATTTTTATTATTATATTTATTTACGTGATTTTTATTATATTTATTTGCATGATTTATTATGATATTTTTGCATGATCTTTGTATGTTTTAATTATGATATTATTGCATGATATTTTTTTATGATATTTTATAGTATTTTTATATGACAATATTTTGTAAATAAATAAAATGAATTAGGATTTGATTTTTGATAAGATATTTAATAAATCCGACGATGGAGAGTCTTTAAGTAAATAATGAGTTTATCTTAAATACTTTTAAGGTGAGAAAAAATTTCATTTTTGGTGATAGCCTAAAGATTTTTTTTTCAATATTTAAATATCAAAATTAATAAAAAATCATATTCGATTAAAATTTAAACAAGATAATATATGATTAATTTGGTACCATTTTTGGGTGATATGGGAGTGTTAAAACCTTCATTACATGGAACCAATTCCCGAATTTAGTTTTGTTGATATAGATTAGAACCTATTTCTTTTAGAAACTCTTAAACTTAAGATAATCTTAAAAAAGATAGATTCACATAAATGGTCAATCACACCTAGATAAAAAAGATTGATAGTGACTCCATAGTTTTTATGTTTGATGAGCAGGTTCTTAGACTTGAACGTTATGACAATTTGGCGACTTCACTAGAGACATTAGAGAGTTAAGCCATTAGTTAATTGTGTGTTATCTTAAGTTTTGTTTTGATAGTTTCATTATTTATGGTTTTCCTGTGCACTAATTTATTTGTTTATTTTGTAGATTTTAATTTTTCATGTGTACCAATTTATTTTATTATTTAGGTTGGCATGTTCCTCTACACATACCACATTTGCATTCATTCATAAGCTCTAGACCTGAATTTTATCCTTTTAGGAGAGGGTAAAGTACCTATGCTTTGTTAGGTGTTAAATTCTAATATAGCTAACAAAATACTCTCACTTAAATTGAACCTATTTCATTGGTAGCTAGTTATGGGTATAGATTGGGGTGCCTTGCTATTCTATAATGGACAATGATGTAAGAAATAATTTAGGAGTCTTTAGACTGTCAAACCTTTGGCACCAACATGTACATAAACCTTAGCGATCCAAACTTAAATTAGAGCCTTGCCCTCCTCTTTGTTAGATAAACCTAAATAGGACACATAATAAGACATTTTTTATTATTCTAAATTGTATTTTGTTCCTTGTATATATTATGTTTACCAACCATTTTCTTTTAGTGTATGTGCACGCATCATTAGATTTATCATAAAGAGTGATTGCCATAAAATAATTTTAATAAAAAAATATTAATTACATCTATAAAGAGCCTAGCAAAATCCCTATTGGCCTAAA